TAGCAGGCGACAAGCATGGCAGCCGTGACAGCACCCTTGAGTCGACGATGGATATGATCTTTATGGATACCAAGTTCGCGCGCTTTTTCTACAACAGTAGAGCGCTCTCCCTTTTTTCGTGCAGCACGGATCTCTCGTACAGCTTTATCTACCAAATCATCGATTTCTCCGTTCGAAAAAGGCATGTTGTGAGGGTGCTATGCTCGAAATTCTACAAGAGATTTATTTCGCTTTAAAAAACGCGTTTGGCTGTAAAACGCGTTTGGCTGCTAGCCACGTGCTGCGTGCGCTGGCTTTGTAGGGGTACCCCCCCTGCAAAGTGGGTCCCCCCTAGGGGGATCCACCTATTGGGCCACGGATATGTCTAGAGGTGTTTAATTAGATTTAGATCTAGACTATAAAGTAGTCAATTAATCAATAATATATTCTTATCTTTGAACTATTTCTTAACCTTTTTGGCTATATAAATAAAGGCGTTGACTCAAGCCACATAGCACGGCTGAGAACTGAGGCAATGTGATAATTTCAATCAAGTAATTCATCTAATTCCAAACAACATTAGTATACTCCGTACTGTAATGTAAATACTAGAGCTATTAGCTCCTACAATCAAGTAATTTCATTTTGTCCTACGATCTCGTTACTTTTATCTATCAGTCGAGCCACGACAGAAAAGCTGTATACTAACGTGCGTAACCAATGGAAGGGGTTTTCGTATCGATTGCCAACGCCAACGGCCAAATGAGGAACGATCCTGCTGCCCGGCCATGAGCTAAAGGTACATCAATTGTGCGCCTACCCAGGCCGATTGGCCGGCACGGTCATCATTTGCTGTAAAGGCGCTCAACCATGTTGCCTCAGTCACTCGGACGGCTCAGGGCAGCTCAAGCTTGGAACAGCTTTGCTCAGCCACAGCTCAGGTCTGCTTGTTCATGACTCAGGTTACAGTCACATGTGCTCAGGTCTTGAAGCGGAAATGGAATTTGTAGAGGTCAAGATTGGTGTGCGAGTATTCTGGCATCTGTAATACTTCCGTCTAGCACTTCTTATTCCATCCTGGGGGCTAATAGCATCCTGTTCGACCAATAGACCGCGGCCCTCAGTGAACCGTAAACTAGCTTTTGTCTGACACATCCCAAAAGACTCACAGGGCAACTCCTTTCTATCTTGTTATCCCAGGGACGCATGACCGTACATGGCCGGGGCAATTGGATGACGGAGCGTGGGTTTCGTCTCCCAAGGACTCTTGTAGTCAAATGCAGTATCCGTCCAAGGCTGTTTGATCTTATGACCATGCCAGGCTTCCCGATAGAGTTGGACGTCGTGTGTAGTATTCGGGCGAAACCATCGCGGTATTGGAATGTCGCTCATCGTACCTTGTGAAGTGCTGTCAATGTTTACATAGGAAGCTCTCGAATCAGTATTGTGCACTTCCGCACCGGACACCCCAGTCCGGTTCACTCAATGAAGAACATGACGGATGGCTGTCCCCCAGCTGCAATGGAGCAAGCAGGAGTCCGGTCCAGTAGGAGGTAGAAAGACGGATGTGTCTGCAGCACATATGAATCTTGCGCATATTTGGGTGCCATTTGGGTTTTCTGCCGTGTTCATACAGCACGGAGAATCTAACTCGAGCCTGCAATAACCGGGGTCAGAAGACAGGTAAATCGAATATGTTCTGGTGCGCTGTCTTGTGTTCTTTGGACTACGGCATGCGCAGACAATAATTTGTAAAGCTTTGTTTTTGCCAGTCTGGCATGCGTCACCAGCGGTCCAACCTCTTCAAGCATTTCTGTGCAGCGCTCGTCACCCATAATCTTCCCGGTGAGAACGCGATAGAAAGCATTCTTTTGGCTGGGTACGACGATTCTGGCAGTCGCAGCTGCAGTTGCAGTCGCAGTAGTCTTCTAACGTTCCTCATACACCCTCTGCGATACCTGTTGGCATCAGCCATCATGGAAACACCCGCTCTCCCCCCTGTCCCACCTCCTGGATCAACTCATTTGCTGGGTAATTCTGCGCTGGAGAACATGCCGCCTGAGCTCCGCATTCACATTCTGGAGTCGCTGGATTTTGTGTCTCTGCGTTCATTGGTCCGCGCCTCTCCCTCCTACCATGCAACCTACTTAAATGTAGGGAGGGAGGGAGTCTTAAGTCATATTGCCGTACAGCAGTTGGACCCCCGAATCCGCGCCCACGCTCTAGCGGCTGTCCGCTCCGCAACATTTTATGAGACCCGACGCCAGCTGGTGGAAGTTAAAAGAACACTCACTTTCTTCGATGATCACAACCGCGCTCGCACTGACAGCGCCGACTCAAGCTCTGGATGGCTATCCTTTCGCAGCATGGCTGAGGTGCTGGATTTGATTCATCTGCATGAGACAGTCAAGCATTTGGTTTTCCAATACTGTCTCTCTATTACCTCCATAATGCCGCAGGGACAGCAGCCCTTCAATTTGTCGCAGATGGAGGAACTCCGGCTTCACAGAGCGATGTATCGCTTTTGGGTCTATTGCAATTTCTTTGGCAACAATCCACCTATGTTTGAGCAAAGTCTGCTGCCGCATGGGGCAAGAGATCAACATCCACGCATGCGATTTCTCCCATCTATGCCAACATGGGAAGTCGTAGAGATGGCGTGCATCTGGCAGTATTTTTACAGGCTATGGGCATTCGTCCAGCCAGGGTCCTCGAAAGGTAGGTTGGGCGGCTGTGGTAATTCGAGGCTGTATCTGTTGGAGCTGGCTGTACGCCGCCGTAGAGGTCATGGTGGTTCTGATGAAAATTCTGCCCCTGGTAATTACTCCTCCATTTTTCCTGCAGGATTTGCTCATGTTGGTCTAACCAAGACTCGTTAGGGCCATCTCACGACAAAGCCAACCAAGCCAAGCCCTGCGATGACCAGGACGAAAGACTTGGTAGGTACTTTACACACGTGAGGCCGCACTTTCTGTCAAAAATTCGGTGGAAGGAGTCGCAGAATTGGGCTTTCAGATCTGGCCAGGATGGACGCGTAACCGTGTGTATGCCATTTGATCTACATGATCCCTATCCTTTGGACCATTTCGTCCATCCAGCCGACAAATATGCACACCCAGACATCCTCGCGCGGTTGCCCCAAATGCCAGAATCCGAGCAGCCCAGTCATGGTTGGAAATGGTTCTGTCACGAATACAAGGTCCCGGCGCTTGGAGTAGGCCCTTGGGCGTGGCAGACGGTAGGGAAGTATATTGCCGTCGACGAGAAGGGACGCGAGTTGATGTGGGGATGCCCTTTCTGGGACAAGGAAAGACTGGACAGGCGGGGCGTGGTCACGTCTTCCTCATGCAAAGAGAAGAAGAACGAGAACGAAAACGAAAACGAAAACGAGGCAGATGAGAGCTATGGTTTGGGAGAAGATGGTTGCTTTCTGTTTGGGGAAGACGGGAGCTAAATACACTGTTGTCAAGGGCGCTGCCAGGCGTGTTAGACAAAAATGTCAGGACGTCTCCGCCAACCTAGGATACGTTCTCGTGTTGCCTATTCTTCGATACTTTTAGCAACTTTGCTGCAATCTCTTCTTGCATAACAGAGTGATCAATCCACAGTAATAAGTATTAGAGACGCAGCGCCAAGCCCAATTGATTGATTGGCTGGGATTGGTGGTCAGCTTAATAGTAAACTCATTTCGTCGCTTACGTCAGTAACGCTTTATAAATTCCAAGATAGGATGTGTTGAATTCACCCAGTAAGGACTAGCCCATTATCTAATCAAGATCAGTTTAAGATCTCCTTATCATTCTGTGATGACCGTTTGACGTCGCATTATCATTGATTTTGAGGAAATACGCTGAACAGCAGTCAGATCTGGCCCCATGCATGATTGTTTCCTTTCCAAAGAATTGGAAGCACTCTCGACCCGCAAGTGTCATCTCATCGACACCTGCTACTTCACTCACCAGCGAAGACCCAAGACTTAGCAAGAGCTCTTGTTGTGTTTATCCCCACAAGCACTTGATCGTCAGGATCTCAGCAGTCGCAAGGGCCCAGACTGGTTCACGCCCGCATGCGCCTACCGAAGATATGCCCCGTCCGTTTCGAAGCGAAACACAAAGTATCCCAGGAGGATGACGAGATACTACAATCTCGCTGTCAGCGGAAGACGGAGTTCTCCGACCACCGCAACTGTTCGCCACGCGCTATTACTCAGAAACGCATACACTCTCAAAATGCTGCAGTTAGCATTGCAACGCTGGTTTATGATCTCCTTCTAGGTGATTCTATAGCTTGCCTCTTCTATGCGTATATATAGCGGTCATCCTACTCCTCAGGAGTTGAGATAGCAAGTCAATCAATCCATTCCATCTACTTTCTCTTGCTTACTAATCTAATCTGCACTGCTTCATGGCATACTTCTAACACTCGCTTAAAGACCCTTGTCATTTGTGTGAGTTCTGATGAACAATGAGCAAGAGGTGAGCAGCGGGAGCAGTGGCGGTGCGGCCTGAGCAGAGGCTGAGTCGTAGTTGAGCCGGGTGACTAATTCCTGAGTCAGGCAGCAGAAACGACCAACCCAACTGGGTGCCAAGGCGCGGTCAAGATTCGGTGTAGGATACCAAGGGAATTTCCAGACATGCAGTCCCCAGAATATACTCAGGCCAAAGGGGTATCTTGGAATACCAGCCTTATTGAAATATAGAATACATAGTCGTGGTACTTACAAGGTTTGGGTCTTATGGATACACAATGTAGTGCCAGTCGAATAACGAATGGGCTCTCACAACCAGCTCATATCTCTCGAAACTGATCGGTGCTCGTGCCACCGCCTTCTTGAATTCGAGCTACTTGCCATATCCCAGAAATGTCCCCTAGTAACGCTTGCCAGCATTTGACGGCTAGCAACACGTCTTCATTCCCTTGGATGATCCCAAATCGTCATGACCTGATTGCTATGATCTTCAATATCACATCACACCTTACCCCTATTCCATCTTCTTTGAAGCCTTAACGACAGCCAAATTGGGCCGCTCCAGAAATAGTTTCCAAAACTCCGGATCCTTTTGTACCACCTCAGTACTCTCATACGGCACGACCTCAACATCAGTCAAACCAAACCTCTCATGCATCTCCGTCGACCCCGAATATATAATCTCCAGTGCCGCGCCCTCAAACTCGATTGGTGGCGTGCAGGAGAGCATAACCAGGAACTTCACCCCGCCCGGGATCTTTTTCACCCATTTATACATGGCTCCATACTTAGCGTTCAAAATCGCCGGACTGGTTGGATTTGAGTCGCGCACGCCGACGAACCGACCGCCGGGCTTAAGGTAGCCGACGACATTACGAAACATGCCTTCCAGCACCTCCATGGAATCCGCATGACTGAAGATCCAGTTCGCCATCACCACATCGTAGCCGTTTTCATGTAGTGGGAGGTGGGAGAGGGGCTTGGAGACGTCTGCTTCGAAGTAGCGGATGGTGTTTTCGCGGCTGAGAGATTTCTCGATCTCATGGCCAATCTTAAGCATTCCGGGGGAGATGTCGACGACGTCCACAATGGCTGCTCCCAAGTCTATGGCTTCGAGGGCATACCGGCCGGTGCCGCCACCCAGGTCGAGGACTGTGAGGCCGGCGCAATCGCCCAGTGCGATCTTGATGAGTTGAGACTCGAGCTGCCCGAAGGGGAGTGAGCTGTAGTCATTGTAGTTGACAGCGCAGTTGTCGTATTCTTTCTTAACTTGCTCGACGACTGCCATGGTGGTACCTTGGCTGGTCAACTTCTTGACTTGCTCGACGACTGCCATGGTGGTACCTTGACTGGTCAGCTTCTTTACTTAGTATCGATATGTTGGCTTAGGCAATGGCCAAGTTTTTCTTTGGCAATGGACTTACTTACCGGAAGAAAGGCTCTGAGAATGACGGGGTATTGTAGGCCCGGAACCGAGAGAGGCTCTTGGTACGGAACCGAGAGAGTCTCTCGGCACGCAGATATAAGCTGGCCCAGGGAAAAGCTCTGAAGCCCAGCGTTCTATCTTGTTTCCAACAGAAGGCTGCCATTGTGCACTTGCTCACCTTGCTCTTCGCCTGCGTATCGCATGCGATCCACCTGCTTAGTATATCCGATTAGAATACATCCAATCGATCGAAGCTTCGCCACTGCCCGCTTGTTCTCGAGGTTGCCCTCTGACAATAATTTAGCCATAATTTGACTGTCATTTTATGAAAATGACGGCTGAAATAACATAATTTTATGGATTTCAGATGTTTAGCGGCATAATTCTATGTAAAGTAGATCATATCACGATTAGGCTGAAACTAAGCACACATTGAGAGTAATTTAGACATAGTTTTCAGAGCGCCTTCTCCTGCTAAGGATAATGACATACAGTGTTGTCTAGAAGATTGTTACAGCACGTGAACACGCCAAGCACCGACAGGCACTACGGAGCTGCCTGGCACTCTGCGAAGGAACTATGACAGACTTGGACAGGTACGGCAGACTGTTAGAGCCATCCGGCCAATTCAAATTTTCAGCTCCGCAGCAGGGCCATGGAATGGCCCACCAAATTCGTATAGGGGATTCCACAATCATGCTTGCCGCATGATATCTGTGCATAGAGACTTATTGTTGCTACTGAATGATTGATTGCCTAAGTGAGCTTCTAGATAGCCATCCTTGGTGTTGCGTAACTGTTTCGTCATGGCCAAATTGGGTGTAGAATGGGTTTGAGATACTATATAAAGGGCCTTTTTCCTCTTTCTTTCTCTTTATCTCTCAACGGCAGTATCACCGTTGAAGGAAATGGTGGTACCGCCGTTGAAAGAGAATATCATCGTTGTGTTGTTGTCAACGTCATGACTACCACATAGAGAGGCCCTGTAGAGGGGCCGCAGGAGGGCCGTAGAGAGACCGCAGAAGAAGGTAAGAGACGTTGTAATAGATCGTATCTCCTCCTCCTCCTTCTCTCAAGTCGTACTCTTCTTCTTCTTCTTCAAACGTAGAACTGGCAGGCTATAGAAGTGCTTCTGATCCATATTATTGCTCTTCTCCTTCTTCCCCTCCTCCTCCCCCTCCTCCTCACCCTCTTCCCTCTCTTTCACCTCCTTCGCCTTCTTCTCCTGAGTAAATATATCCTTTTTCTTCCCTTTCTTCTTTAGTTTCAAAGTTAAGAGTTGAAGAAGAGCATTAGCTTTTTTAAATGTTTAATTTAGCTTTATAGTAGATCTATTAAAGGAATTATTAGTACTTGAATAAGCTTATTTATAAGATTTAGTTATAGAAGGCTCTGACTCTACTCTAGTAGATTACTTAAATTTAAAAATTTATTATAATTTAGATTCTATATAAAAAACAAGCTTAGTATTCTTTTTCTTCTTAATCTTTTTCTTTTTAATACTAATAAAGTCTTTGTTAAATAGCTCTTCTTTTAATTATTTAAGAGAATTAAGCTTTATTTATTTAATAATAATATAAATAATATACTTTTTATTAATAATACTAAAGTACTTTATTATCTTTTTAATTATATAAATATTATTTGTATTAAAGGGGTATACAGATTAGGAACAGCTATT